TGATTGACAGTTAAAGGGACACTAGTACAAGAAGATATCCACATGAGCAAGGAGCTGGGGTTTCATCATTCACATGAAAATGGTCTAAAATGTGCTGTCCAATACAGGAGCCAGCAGTCATGTATGACTGCCAAACATCTGAAACACGGTCAGTACGACTAAAAGATATTCTTTTCAATTTCATTTAAGTAGTCAATGGTAACCATATTAGTACATGTAGTGACTGAAGGGCTGGAGAAGACACAGACGGAACCTGTATTAAGTTGTGAAATATTTTAGCAAGCACTTAGGTTAGAAAACCTGGTATCTCCCTGTAGAGAAATGTGGTCCAGTAGCGGAAAAAAGACATGTGAAACAAACCCCTTGGAAAAATTACCATCAACAGTGTGGAAGATAGGATTACTGGAGCAAGAGCTAGGGTAGGAGGCTACTCAGGGACAAACCTAAAAATCCCAAATCAGAGACAAGAGACCTCATGAGCTGCACCAGTGAGGAAGTATTAAAAATCTGCCTTCTCGGGGTTGGCAAGATGGCTCAGTAGTTAAGAACACTGATTGTTCTTGCAGAAGACCCGGGTTCGAATCCCAGCACCCACATGGCAAATTACTGTCTGTAACTCCAGTCCCAGGGGATCCGACAGCCTTTTCTGACTGCTGCAAGCATTGCACAGCATAGGAGAACTTATCTAAATGCAGGCAATATATGCATACACATAAAATAAAAATAATAAATCTTTTTAAAGATCTGCCTTCTCAACATTTGGCTATCAATGGAAGATTGCAGGATTATGAATAATTCTTTATTTTTGGATTACATCATTCACCAAGGGAATATAAGAGAATAAGACTTAGGGAAAAGTGAAAAGTTTACTTTGGATGTGCAATGCTGGTCTGGATGTGCAAAGGCTGGCCTGTATCTCACAGAGATTCACTTGCCTCTGCCTTCTAAGTCCTGGGATGTAAGGCATATACTACCATGCCCTGCAATTCTCACATTCTTGATGTGCAGGTTAATACTATTAGTGTAGTTGTAGATTACTAAAGAAAAAAGATAATTACTTGTTAAAGACAAAGATTTGTGAATAGTACAGGGCAAAAAATGTGGGCTTTTTGGATTGCTTTGGTAGATAAGCAGGCACATCTTCAAAATGGTGGATACATTTTAAACTGAATTTGTATTTTCATCTATACTTGGTTCTGATGTTATGTCTATCTTTTTCTCAGAACACTGAGTTACTAGAACTGTCCTTCTACATACTATAAATTTACAGATAGGGAGGTGTGACAATGAAGGGAAAGGAATGGTGTTATCTAGTGTTACAGGAGCTTACAGAATAAGAGATCAGGCAGGGCCACTGAGAGCAATTCATGGAACACATATTGAAAACATGTTCCTCTGTACATAGAGCCTCAGTCATCTGCTTATTTTTCAGACAGACAGGGTCTCCTTGTATAGCACACACTGATCTCAAACACAGATCCTCTTATCTAAGACTCCAGAGTGGGTTTACAGGTGCAAGCCACTGCCCAGCCATGATTCAGTTGATTTCTTTCCATTTCTTATTTTCAACTGTCAATCACTCCAACACTAATTGAGGAAGGAGAGCGGCTGGTTGGCGGAAAGCATGAAGAGGCGATTTGTAAAATTGATATCTAAAATTGATATCTTTACTTCTGTAAAACTGATGACTCCCATGCCCTATCAAATCTCAAAAACAAACAAAATACAACAAAATAATAACCATACCATCCAATTCTGTGTATGGGGTTATCCAAAGATGGAAAAATACAAAAATACACCAGCTAGGGGTAGAGTGGAGATTAGAGAAGAGAAATGAAAAAAAAAAAAAGATTTGAGAATAGTACAGGGTAAGAAAAAAAGTACCACCCAAATTAGAAACTATTATTGGTATTATGTGAGGTGAAACTAATAAAATATATAGAAAATAGCAAACATGGGCTATGTTCACTCATTCCACAAAATCTGCACAATGAAAACACAGACCTGATTACACGACTGCCAGCTCAGCTTTTGATAACTTGATTGTTATATACTACATTATTACAATCATTTCTAAGATAAAATTAAAGTAGCAAGAAAACAAATGTAAGAGCAGAATTATAGGTATTTCCTCTCTATTTTGACGCTAAAGACATAACACATAACTCTATCCTTCCAGAAAGGAAGAAAACCCAGCCATTTCATACACTATAGACTGAAATGTGTGGCCCACTAAAATTCGTGTTGAAACTCCAGCATCCAATGTGTGTGTATGCATGTGTGTTTTGTTTAGAAATCAGCCTTTAAGGAGGTGAATAAAGTTACATGAGGTTATAAAGACGAGGCTCTATAGAGCATGAGCAGTGTCCTTAGAGACACCAGGATGCAGGATGTGTGTGCACAAAGAAAAGGCACACGCTGCTGGGAAGGTAGATATAGGTAAACTGAGAATAAAGCCCTCCAGAGAAACCAACGTGCCAATTCCTTGATCTGCAACTTCTAACTTTTCCAGAACTATGAGAAAATGTATTTCTATTAATATTTTGTAATGACAGCCTCAGCATATCAATATTCATACTCTGGTTGTATCATGGCCACAGCAAAAGATACTTAATTTACTAAAAATTAAAACAAATGATAAACAAAATTATACAAGAATATTCCACCCAAGTTTTTGAGTTTGGGGTGGGGGGATGAGAATAGGACCTAGAGGCAATTCAACAAATCTGAACCCAAAATAAAAATAGTGAACTTCCAGAAAATCAGATACAAGGAGAAAATTCATGTCATTTTTAGAAATTTAAGACGAAACAACATCAACAAAAACACCAGTTACCTCTTTGAAACTACAAATAAGGGAGATATGAAGATTCCAACAAAGGATCAGAAGTGAATGGAAATCAACTCAGCATTAATTTTTAAGATGTACAAATGCTGCCAATGGTTTTATGTAGTGAGGTGGCTCTCAACCTTGTAGCACATGTTAAAATTATGTGAAGGACTTGACTACAACACACACAACTTGAAGTTTCTGAATCATGGGAAATGTGGCTCAAGAACTTCCAGTCCTAACATGCTCCCAGACAGTGTTGGAGCACTACTTTGGAGGCACATCTTAAGAGTTAATAGTTTGGTATAAGGTGACTTGTATTTAATGAATGTGCTATTTGTGGGGTCTCTTAGAAGCTCACTCATGCTACTGATCTCCCTAAACTGTATATTTAGAAGAAAACCCTAAAGGTCTCATGCTCTATCTTAACCCACCTTGAATTTTTCAAAATGTAATTCTGGCAGAATGGAATGAGGATGTTACAATAACCAAAATGAGAGTGATTCAAAGTTGACTCTACGATGGCCAACAGTTCTACAAGGCTCCAACTCTTAAATCATACTTAACTCACTAAACTACATGAAGAAATTTTCACCAACCTAAACCTTGAGAACAGATTAAAAGCCACTAGGAAAATGAGTTGATTTTTCAAGTTTTGGAAAAGTTCACATCTTTAAATAAGTTATTTCAGATTCAATCTCAGGAATGAATAAACTAGCTTTTTTATTACATTTGATTTATTTATTTTGTATGTGTTTGTATATAGGTGTGTGTGTGTATGTCTGTGTGCATGAGCAGAGGTCAGATTACAACTTGCTGGAGTTGGTTCTCTCCCTCTAACATGTGGTTTCCAGGGATTAAACTCAGATTTTCAGGTTTAGCAGCAAGTGCCTTTATCAACTGAGCCATCTCAGGCCTATAAACTACTTTCTAAGTACAAATTGAATATAATAGTAATTACCTTGAGAATAAGGGTCACATGATTCTCTGTTTGCAAAGGAATAATTTCTACATATTTGAGTATATTTGTGTCTCTGCAGGTAATTATATACAGCAATATAAAGAAGTTTACCATTATATTAAGACTATCATAAAAGAGCAAAGATAATTTACAAAACGGTAACAACAGACATGAAATTCCTAAACTTTCAAAAGACATACAAACCAGTAGAGAATTCTTCTGAGTAAACTTGGAACTCTAAACCGAAATATACTTTGGTACCTAGAACATGCACCATCAACATTACAACAGGAGTACTGGCCAAGGCCTCCTCCCTACCACCTCAGCAACACAACAGCACCTTTACAAAAAGTATCACATAACTCTTTATCTTCTTCAATCCAGGATCTTTTGTGAGGTGTACTCATAAGAAGTATTAGTTTTGACGACGCTACAACAAACATATACACATAGCATAATGATATAGTTTACTATGCTAATAAAGTATCAATTATAAAGAATTTTTATAAATTCAAAAATAGACAGGTGGTAACATGATTACCTTTAAAGCATGATTTAAATTTTCATTCACAATATTACTTCATTAATCTTAAACAGCAGTTCCATCTATAAGATTCTATATCTTTTTCTTTTTTGAAAAAAAGTAGGTAAATAAACAGTTAAGAGTTTTATAATTCCTAAACAGTATCAATTTCATTTCACAGTACTGATTAGTAGAGAACATTTTCAATTAAAGTAGTATATAATTTACAAAAATAGAATGATTATATACTGCAAAAACATTGTCCTCCATTATGAATATATATATATGTGTGTGTGTGTGTGTGTGTGTGCGCACGTGTGTGTGCTTTTTCTTTTTTAAATTTCACAATAGCCCTTATTCAAGTACTTTTTTCAGAGTTCCCTTAAAATAATCACCTGTTATATTATTTATACATACATAAAGAAACAAATAGTTAATTCAAGAAAATGTTAAAAGTTTCAGTGTAGCTTGACTTCAGTGGAAACTTGACTGAATTCACCATGTATAACTGTCAAGAAAATATAGACATACTTAAGTGCTAACTATTTAGTAAAAGTCCAATATGGTACCATTATAGCAAAATGAAAAGACTGTACTAATCTATTCATCAATCAAAGTCAACCACAAGACTAAATTTATTTAACTAAAAATCTATACCAATATACAATATACCTATTACAAACACATAGGTAGCCATAAATAAAACTTTATTCGATTTTCATTTACAAGCTACCAAATATTATGTATCATACACAGTGCTGAACACTTAATGGCTTAGTCTTGGAAAGGTCCAGACTAAATGGAAAGCTGAAGGTAAAGAAAAGTGAAAGGAAATACTGCAGCAGAAATGTGGCAAAAACATAGTTTCACCTTAATAAAATCAATCGGATTTGTAATTATACATCAGTTCCGGTTAAAACAAAGTCTGAGTGCCATGCGATTCTCAGCTTTGCTATTCGCAGTCTGGCTAAGGTTGGCATAGTCATTTTGTTTTTACAGTTATTGAAATAAAAAATTAAAAACTATAGCAGCAACAAGCAAACCCTGTGACAGGAAGGCAAGGGTTAAGAACTAAAAAAGTTTATATAGTGTGTTTGGGGAACGTGTGGGTAGTTTATCTTCCATCAGCAGGAGTTCGACTGAGGGACAACATGATTCGGGCAAATCGCTCACAGAGTTCATGCGTGGAATAGGAAGGTAACTTTGGTGGCTCGTGGAAACCTTTAATCTCTGTAGAACAGTCAAGCAGTTTTGGCAGAAAATCTGTCAGCTTTTCTTGGAGGTTTGCTGCAAATACAAATAATTAAATGTATCTAAACACAAAGCAAGATTAAAGGACTCTCTACAATATGATTTATCAACTTGCAGTGGCTTCACTCTGAAATACATAAAATAATTGCCATTTGGGGGAAGAGATTTTAAAAAAATCACAATAGTAGTGTGCACAGCTTAGTTTGTAAATAAGGAAAACAGCTACGATGTGAATTTGGAAATACTATAGAATACAAAAATAGAAAGATAATGGCACTGTATTCCAAATGCGTTTATCCCAACTCAGGTCCTTGGGGGACTGTTTAAACTTACATTCCATTTCTTGCCCCAGGTATGAACACCATCGATTCCTCATATCTTCCACAGCAAGTATATCCTTCTCTTCCATTTCATCCACCAGTAACAAGGGCAAAAATGGAACAATAAACTCATTCATGATAATCAAGCCACTGTTCACGTCTCGATCCTCTCCAGACTCAAAAAGTTCTGCTGCTTGCTCATTTAATTTCTTAATACAATGAGAGAAGAGAACACATTTTGTTTCCTCTTACAATTAAATAAGTATACTTTGTAAATGGAAATATTAAAAATTATAGAATAAATATGTTCACAAACAGCACTGGAACAAAGAGCAATCAGGAAAAACAGTATCAAGCTATTCTAGTGCACACACAGTCTCTTAGAAAAAGCTATATGTATAATAAAAGCAAATGAAACATAATACAATATAAGATCATAACCTAGTATTACCATTCAAAAATTATAAAAACATGCTGCACATTAAAATTAGTGCAAACACAGGAGTTCTATTTTCTAAAAGAAAACATTTCATCAACAGACCCACTTAATTTTTTTTAAATATACTTAATACATAACAAGCCCAGAAAGGTTTATTCTCTATTTCTTTAACATAAAAAAATGAATACTTAGAAATCCACAATATTAAAAACATTGATGTCAACAGTTGAAAGGGAGTTAAATTTAATCAAAATACATTTTAATGGCATTTATTATTTCATTCAGAAAGGCTAGCTGATTCAGTGTGCATCAACCAAGCACTCTAGAGATCTAGTTACACAACATGGAAAAAACGGTTTTCAAAGTCACTTTTAAAAGTCTGCAATCATAGTAATATGTTCAGTATACAGGCAGTGAAAATATTTGAAGAAAAATTAATCATCAGCTACCAAAGAAGACACTGTATATAATGAAATTTTGATATTATATACACAAAGTAGAACACGATTTATTAAATTTCAGTGAACTAATTGTTTTCTGGAATATTATTTCCTTGCGATCAATGCAACCCCTCCTTGTCCACCAAAAGAGGGAGTGGAAAAGATGGAATCTATGCAATGAAAGAAATCGTCTCATTTTAAGAATACACCTGGTTTTAGAACCTGCAGTACCTGTATCCATAAGGAAGAAGGATAAGGTGTGACTGCACTTTTTCATCTTAAGGGAATGAACTCCACACACAGACATACCAAGATTCTTATGCTGGCAGAGTTTATAGAGTCAATTACTTATATATGAATCTGGAAGGTGTGTCTAAGGTAGGGCAAGATGTAATATACACATTACTTTTACTCACTAGTAAACATTCTCTTCTATAATGTGATATCAGCTCTCCATCATGTCCTTTGTATGGACCCTTGGACAATAGTTCTTTGTTATGCTGATAAGCACAGATAAGGAACAGCAAGGCATCTATGTAACTTAAAAATTAAAAACAAACATATAGCATTAGTATTTCATTCCTGTAACAACAAGTCTATTACAATTCTAAAACATTTTAAGTATATACTTAAAGTTCTACTCTCGAAAACATAATTTTAAAAAAATCATCCAACGCATTGTATGGACAAGCATACCTTATTAGTAAGAGCAAAATCAGAAGGCAGGAGATAGTTACATCTTGATAGAAATAAAACAGAAAGGAAATACGAAAAATGGGAGAAAATGCATAGCTAAAGAATTTAATAGTTCTCTTTGTTTTCTTCTGTATTTAATTTTCTAATCTCTTCCAGTTAGACTCAAAATTAGTACTGACATGAAAGCCAACATCTACTTGTTTAACACAAGATGTTCCTTTGAAAGGATTGCATTCCTTTACTTTATAATTACCAAATATCATCACACATACAAGGACTAGTCAGGTTTTTCTATGTGTAGATACATTTCTACCCACTGAGAAAATCAGAAAATACCACAGGAGATGAGATGTGAAAAGAGGGAAATGTACTTCTAATCTGGATATTTACTAGGATAAAAGAAAAGCTAAAATTCCATAATATAAAAAGCTGTTAGGCCTAAGTCTATGTGTTATATTAATACACTGTAGCTATAAATGCCATAAAGTACAAACAAGGCTTAGAAATGGGATAGAGAAAATGTTTAATATTGTTTTTATCTGAAATAATCCTTCTAATAAGTTAGAAGAAATACATACAATTGTAAAGGAACACATTTTGTATACTCTGGGTGCTGCCAATCAGCACTATTGTTTAATATATTTTATATGTTCATCTCTAAGATAAAGCCAGCTCATACTCCAAATAGTAAATGTAAAATTATTTGGAAATTAATGTACACATTTATTTCAAATCAAATTATACATTAGAAACTGTCATAAGATTATTTTAAATGTTTTTTGAAATTGTTTTTACAGGAATTTGATTTTGAGAAAATTGAAATATGAAATTTTCCTTTTAAATGATATGATGTTAATTAAAATATCACCCCTAAAATTTTTGTTTTATTTATGAAAAAGAGGGGTAATATTTTAAATGTACTTTACAGTATCAAATTACTATAGTTGGTTATTTCATGATGAAAGGCATATCTAGTTCTTTTTTTTTTCAGTCATTCTGTTTCCTGTTAAAAAGTGTCTCTAAATGACAGCTGAATCTGCCTAATAGACCTGATTTGCCTCTAAAACCATGACCTTTGCCCAATTCTCCACTAACTTGTAAAATCTTTCATTCATTCATTTGTTCCTTCCTTCCGTCCTCTCTTCCTTCTATTTTTGTGACACGGTCTCACTATGGAGCCCCAGCTGACCTGTAACTCGCTATGTAGACTGGCTGGCCTCAATATCACAGCAATATACCAGCCTCTGCCTCCAGAATGCTAGTATTAAAGGAGTATACCACAACGCCTGGCTAAATGTTTTATATTTCATCAACCTTAAATACTTGTAAATATATAAGATCAGAAATAAGATTCAGCAGTCTGGTTACCATACATTCTCACTAAAGATAAGCTCACAGAGTCTTGCAAAACCTGTTTACTTGTACCACTGTTTAGTGGTTCCTAGAAACATCTCATTTCACTACTCATAGAACTGTCAAGAACACTACTGTAACTATTCTAGTCAAAGCTTTCAACTAATAAATTTTCCTTTCTTTTGAAAAAATCTATTCATATTGGTGTATATAACCGCATAGCAAGGGCTTCATTATGACACTTTCACAAATGCATAAACCATATTATCATAACCTTCTTAAAAGATTTTAAATTTATTTTTATTTTTTATGTGTACGTATATGTGTGCCCATGTGTGTATGCCATGTGTATATGAATGCCGGCCAGAAGATGCTAGAAGAGGGTGTCAGAGTTCCAGGCAACTGCAAACGATCCAACATGGGTTCTGGTACCCAAACTCCAGTCCTCTAAAAGGGCAGCAAGTTATCTTAATGGCTGAGTCAGGTCTCTAGACCCTGTTGTAACCTTGATAATATTTTATATATAGCAACTTGTGGTAACTATTATATTTAAAACAAAAGAACTGTTTTATAATGATTTATAACAAATATGGTATAAATTCTATGCTATAAGTAGTTTTCTTCAATTACTAATATTCTTGGTGATTTCAATTTAGTGAACATTTACTGGAGTAGAACTCTATATTACTGAAAAGTTATATACAAATTAAGAAATCTATACCTAAAGGTATACCAAGTTATGCCTTAAGTCTTTTAACAACACTAAAATGAACCATAGGAGAAGTCGTCCTGTTAGTTACAAAGTGACAGTTTCACCTTTTCAATTTTTATTGAGATAAATGAATATTTTCTTTTAAAATATCATCTTGCTGTGTGGCCTAGGCTGGTCTTGAACCCTGAGTTCATGTGATCCTCCTGCCTTACTCAATACAAGAATATAGGTTTCTATTAATTTTTCTCTCCCTAGTTGTCTACTGGACTATAATAAAATTATTGTGTCTCTAGTTTCTTTCACTGTCAAGCTGCTGTGACTTTTTATCTTAGAGCCTCTGCTTGATTTTAAGATAATCGTATCATTTTTCTCACATAAACATAAATCTTACAAATACTGACAGTGAATTAGAATATTTCTATTAAATATAATACTGACTAAAATATGTCAGCATAGCCATTAATTGAAAGCTTTGTTCAAATTACAAAAGTGATTTCATATATGATATGTATATCATATATAATATATACATGAGGATTTTAATAATTTTGGGCTAAGTACTTAAATATAGTGCAAAGTGCAATATTTTCACTTTCTGTGTGACTTTGCTGATTTTGATCATTTTATTAATGATAGAGCTGTACTTTAGAAAAGAACTCCCAGCAACGAAGGAAATGTATGAGTGCTGGAGTGGGAACCAGTAACAGGTGACTCTAAGAAATGTGGCCAGTGCTACTGAGAAACTGAATGCATAGCTATAAATATTTGTCATTCACATTGGATAGTAACAGGCAGTTACAGTTAAATTCTAGAAATAATTGTCCAACTTCTTACAAAAACCAGAAAACCATAAGCGTCATTACCTCAGTGGGAGCATCAGAGTTTATAAAAAAGAAAAAAAAGAACTAATTTACTCTTTATTTTACTTCGCTGCAGTTGAAAATAGTTTCTTAAAAAACAATTGCTAGTAAAATAAGTTGATGACAAAGGTATAAATCATGAAATATATAGAGAATAAAATGTAAAGTAGTAAATAATCAGCAATAGTAAGTCCATAACTTTTTTAAGAGTTAAAATACAAATTTTATAGTCAATTTGAAATTCCTTTAAAAAATATCTTCAATTTAAATAAAAATTTTATTTAAAGTTAGTTTGTAGTCACATTACTTAAAAATAAACTTGGTGGCTATTTTGTTTTTTTCTGAGGTATGCAGTCTACTGGTGATCAAATGTAAGGCCTTGTGCATGCTAGGCAAGTTTCCACCGAAATATATTTTCATCCCAGATACACTCTTTATGGTATGAAAAGTGAGGAGGTGGGGGGTGTTAAACAAAGAGACACTGAAAGAACTATCTGTGCTTTAAGTTAGATGAGATTTGGAGAGAATATAAAAACAACTGGTGATTGCAGGTAGATGTTGGGAAATGTCACAAATCCTATGTGCTAGGCTAACCAGCTCTTCTGTTCCTGAAATTTCTGTACTTAAACCTAATCACATTTTATATTAAACTTTCAACTAACAAGGGCAGACACAAATGCCAACTCTTATGACTCTAATAGAAATTTTATTTTATGTGAAGGATATGGGATCTTGCTGTACCAAATATCCACTTTTCCATATTCTAAAATTGTTCTAAAATAAAATGTTCATTAAAAATGGACACTGTGGGGCATGAGAAATGGCTCAGTAACCAAGAGCACATACTCCTCTTGCAGAGGACCTGAATTTGGTTCCTGGCACCCACAAGGCAGTTCACAACTATCTGTGACTCCAGTTCTAAGGGATCTGACACCTTCTGACCCCCGAGGGCACCAGGCATGCACCAAATACATGTAAGCAAAACACTCATACACATAAACTTTTTTTTTTTTTTTAAAAGGTGCACTTTGTAAGTACCTTCTATTTGATGAAAACAACTGAAGAGAATTAAGGACAATATTAAGCCTTTTTTCACATTTGTCTAAATTGCCTTACCGTTCTCTCTGAAACTTTTCTAATCCGATTATGAGATACATAGTTGTTTCTCTGAATTTCTTATAATCATGATGCCACTCCTGTAAGTAAAAGTATTAAAAATGAAAAGTAAAGCTATAGTAAATTATTTATAAAACAATGCACTGTTCAAATAACTGTAAAATTAATAATTTGGTTGTTTATCATCCCATTAAAATTTTTTCAGTATAAAATTTACAACTAAATTATTACCACAGTACAGACTGGAGTGTTATTTATATCCAAAATATTTGGGATTAGAAGTATCTCCTGTAAGCCATGTTACAAATGGTTGTGTGTATACTCTATTAGACAGCACTCTCATAATGACAAATACAGATAACATATAATAACATAAATGAATCTCTAATTTCTCTCCAAAATATATGAAATGAGCACAAAGAAAAAAAATACAGCAAGCAGACTGAAATTAGTATGTTCCTTACTCCCAGCACTTGGGAAGCAGACGCAGGAGGATCTCTGTAAGACTGAGGTTAGCCTGGTCTACATAGCAAGTTCCAGACCAGCTGGGGCTACGGGAAGACCCTGTCTGAAGAATCAAGTAACAAGAAAACAAAAACAAAAGCAAAAAATGGTAAACAATGAATGCTCAACAGTGTTGGTTATTATAATAAGCACCTGGCTCTGCTGGCCAGATGTAAGTCCTGGCTACACGCACTTCAGCCAGGGTGCCGCACCTCTGTGAGCACCTCCTTTGTTCAAGTGTCAAACAGTAATAGTATTACCACCTACCTCACAATGCTATTATCTGAATTAAGTCAGATAACATGTGAAAAGTTTTTTTTATTTTATATATTTGAGTTTTTGTGCATTTCTCATGAAAAGTTTTTAAAAGAATCCTCAGTAGATGCCTACCAATCCATGCACTTTCAAAATTAATGCAGTATGCTATAGTTTTAAACTGGAAAGACTGAGAAAGTAGTTGAGGAGAAGTAATATATTTTAAGAGGACTAGACATGAACATAAAACCCCCAAAATCTTCCTTTTAAACATTGTGGCATATAGGCAATTAGATCAAAGTCATTCTAAAGTCATTTATCAAAGAATTAATAACTTGGAAATTGACCTAAAGTCTTAATTTTATTTATCATCCATAATAAACTCAAGTCTTGGCTAAGCTGAAATTAGCACCAGTGAACTACAGAATGTTTGAACCCAGAGGCCAATCTTTCCAAAGAGTGCTCACCTCATACTCCTGCAGGTTTACTTCTTCAGGTCTTAGCATTTCCAGTTTGGCTTGAGCAACTTTCATTATGTTGTGACACCTTTAAGGATAAGAAACAATTTCTAAATCAAAAGCAATATTCATAAGAACTGAAAAATGTTACATAAAACTAAACTACCAAACACATAAACATTAAATTCATTACCACTAACAATAAGGTAAGGAAATAACTCTCAAATATCTTAAATAAAATAGATCATTTTTGAACCAGTGTCAGTTACAAAGAATCAATACTTTTTATTTTTAAAATATTTATTATTTTTATTTTATGTGTACCAGTGTATTGCCTACACTTATGTGAGTACACCTGTGCCATACAATGCGCAAAGTTCAGAAGAGGGCGTTGGAGTCCCCTAGAATTGGAGTTCTTAGCTGCCATGTAGTGGGTATTGGGAATCGAACCCACGTCCTCTGCAAGAGCAGTCAGCATTGTTTACTGCTGAGCCATCTCTCCAGCCCCCCAAATCAATTACTTCTAATTCCAATTTACTGGGTAAGATTTATATGTAGCCTTAAGGTATTGTCCATTAGTACACTTTACACTGGGAAAAACAAACTGAATTTTATAAAGTTTATCTACTAAGCAAGTTCAAGAGATTATTATCTTTGTTTCCACTGATTGACAGCATTCTTAAATAGCTTAATAATAAAGTATCCAAAATATGTCTATCATTTCAGGCAGAAAAATTTTCGATTTATCATAATCTTTGCTTTAAAAATCTTCATGATGGCCAATAGAATGGCTCAGTGGCCTGACAGGCCTGACAACCCGAGTTCCTTTGATCCCATACTCCCCAAGGTGGCAGGAGAGAAATAATTCTGAAAGTTGTCCTCTGACCTGCACACATGCACCATGCCATGCAAGTACTAGTCACGCTGCCATGCACACAATTTTAAAAGTTTGAAAAGTAAATTTCTACATCACAAATTGAGATCATTATAAACAACTGTTTTCCAAGTACAAATAAAATCAGGTTCTCAAAACCGACTACTTGCGATGGCTCAGTTGATGTATAATGCTCTTACAGAGGACCTTGAGTTCAGTTCCCAGCACCCACATCAGGGGGCTCATAAATGCCTATAACTCCAGCTCCAGAATGATTCATTACCTCTGGCCTCCATAGGCACTTGCTCTCAAATGAACATACCACAGAGTGTGTGTATGTACATTTTTGAGATCTTAATAGTTATATATGTAACAAAATAAGTGACATCCATACTACCATTAAAACTAACAGGTATTACAATAACCAACACTGTTGAGCATTCATTGTTTAGCATGAAAAAACACTAGCTTTCATAAACTAGGTGGACCAAGGAGAATCAGCAACTAAACTCTAGACGCTTTTTGTCCCCTCATATTTTCCTCTGCCACATGTTTTTAAATTCAGTATTGAATTCATAAAAGGATGATCATTTCCCTCAGAATTAAAATGTAATTAAGACAATCTCTAAAACAACTTAAGTGTTTCTGTATCCTAAAATATCTCTTAACATCTTGAATTTTTATACTTCAGGTCTAAATTTTTATTAGTAGAATTCATATAAATTATAAATGTAAATTTCTAACTAGGAAAAAATACTTTTAATATTAAAAGTTTCATAGGAATTTTCTAAAAGAAAATAGTTGTAGGTGAACAAAATTATAACTATTTTAATTCTTTCCTTTGTATCAAAGAATGCTTAATTATTATTTTTCATGTACATGACTAGAAACTGTTCTCCACTGATTCTTGCAGAATGGCGAATTAACCTGTTGCCAAGGGGCTACTGGGAATATCTGAAGATGCTAAGGTTGTTCCAGTCTGAGGTACTACTGGTTTCTTACTGTAGAGGCCTACGATGCTGATAAATAATCAATAAATCACACAATAGCCTGGCAACAAAATGATCTGACCTAACATCCCCACATCACACAACTTGAAAATTCACATATTTCATCCATAGATGAGTGATTTCTTGACTCATATTTAAAACATATTAAAAATTTCAAACTATTTTCAGTTCAAACTTTAAAAAAGAAACTACAAAGCAAATATGTTAACTAAAGGTAAAATTTGCACAACATTTATTAAAATATATTTTTGTGAATGCATAAAAATTACACTTGCAATCTCAAATTGAAATAAACAGAAACCCAGGAGAGTATGAGCACGTGAACTAAATATTTTGGATTTCCATATACCTTTCATCAAAACTCAAATTTCTGTCTCCAAATTGTTCTAACAACGTTTTCTCGATGATTTTCTTTGGTGCCTGGTTCTGAATAAAATAGACCACAACATGGTGTAAACGATAATCTGTTTCGGGTGGGGTATCCTCTTGGGCCAACTTAACCAATCTTGAATACTCCAACTTAATTGCCTAGAAAATGAAATAAGAATGACAATTTTGATCAGTTGTAATTAAATTAAGGTTCAATATTATAGTTTTAATTATTTAAATATTTATTTCATCTTTTAAAATGCTGTAAACATAGTGGCACATGTAAGAAGAATCCCCCATGTTCCATACTTCAAAAGAATTTTCTGAATAACTGTTTACACAGGTCAACTGTTTACTTATCCCAGCACTGTACAAATGTTCTTTTGGTTTCCATACACAGAACTGATAAAATAGTGTGTTTGCCTTATGATGTGATTCATTTCAAAAAATGTACCGAAGCTTAGTCAAAGCCACTTCTAGTGTCATAAGATAGATGTGCTGAGTTGTTCTCCACTGTTTTACCTTTCTAGTACTGGATTAAATCCCCAAATTCTAGAAGAGCTAAATGATTCCCTAGAATATCCAAGCCTGAACAAAAATGGCTGGCTCTTGAATGCATAGTGACACTGCTACAATTACTTTTGCTAGCAGTACAATAGGGGTGAAATAGCAGACCTTCAGAGTCTAGTTACTACAAAATGAATTCTTGATTGCTCCACCAGTATTTGAATTTTACTGTTATAGTAATAATGAATATACACAGTCACAACAGTATTACCTTGTTGCTTCTTTAAAACATAAATACCTCAAAATTTAGAATTAGTGATGTAAAATAACTGTTAATACATATTTCAGTATATGAGGCAAAATCAGGAAGATATATATGTAGACACATTTATATGTATAAATGTGTGTAGATATATACCAAATACTACTTTATATTAATCACATAAAGACCATGTGACTAAAAATAACATTTGATATACTCATTTATTTTTTTTTACCTGAATTCTAGCTCTGCTAATTATAAAACATTTTTGGCTACATGCAAAATAAATTATAAAAAATTCATTCATTAAAAAGGTTTCTTTGTTCCCTTTGCTTGCTTCTAAGCATGCCTTCCTTATGTAATTCTGTTATCTATGTGACTGTATTTTATGGAAGGGAGATCTTAAAAAAAAAAAAAAGAAATGTTCTAGCTATCCTGTATCATAATTCATTAAAGAGAAGGCTAATGAGTCCTTTTTGTACAAGAAAGCATTACAAATAGCATAAAACATTTTTTATGGCTAATAAAAGTTATTCCAAAATACTCAAGGACAAAAACTGACCTTTCCCACACAGATATATATGTCGTCTTATTGCTGTGCTTTAAAATAATCATAAAAATCCAAATGCATTCTGACATATGTTATTGTCAAGGTCTACTGTGTCTAGAGCACACACAAGCTTTGCCTAGACCCCTTCTCAATCCTATTTTCCCAATTTAGGAGGAACAGAGGTATGTATACTTTTAATATTCAGTATAGACTAAATTTTAGAAAAATGCTATAATATTATACCCTCATTTTTATATGTTTGCTCCTGGTTTTGCTCAATGTTAGAGTCTCCTAATTTTCTGAAGTGGCTACTAGTCAATGATCTTCTCTATAGTTCTCTAAACCAGTGGTGAAGGAAGGGACAGACATCCTATGCTATTACACAGCCATCATTATGAGTAAAGCTGATATATACTGATATATGTCAACCTGTCTCAAACTACCTCTTCATTATCATATCCCTAATTTTGTTTTTTCAATAATTTTTGGCTGTCTACAGTGAAAAATATTTTAAGATAAATATTGTGGGTACTACATGACAAGATCACATTTATAATATGAAGTGTGATTCTCGTCATTAGGTAATAAAACATGTTAATTTTTAAAAATTTCCACCAGACATTAATACAAACCAACAGAATCTACTTAAGGAGGATAGTGCTGCCCAGTGTCTATATTCCAGTGCCAATCAATAAGAAAATCCTTGACTTCGAGTTTGACAAGATGCTCCTAGACAAGTAAGTCGATCACCACTATTTTACCATTGAGAATATGGACTACATGGTAAAACTAGACATGATGTAAGAAATGGCTATAATGAAAATGATGTGATATTCACTGGGAAACAATTTAATGATATAACCATGAGAATACATTGAAAATTATTAGAAAAATCACAGGTTTTAATAAGATAACTAGACAAAAATATATAAAATTATGTTTCTCATTATCTATCTTTATCATAACTTGCAAGTACTATATGATACAAAATTTTGTACATTTAAGAATAATTTCAAAAGTAAGATAATTATGAAGCAAAATGATAAAATCTTACAAAAAGACGTAGCAGAGGACGATAGAAGTAGTAAGGAATATCGGGCTCCTTTTAGAGAATAACTTAACAACTAAAAACCAACATCCCACTTCACCCTCAATTAATGCCTAAATACAATGCAAGTGTTATTCAGGGAGGGGTAGCAACTGATTGTAAAAATCTCCTGAAGAGAAAGATTCATCAACTCTTTATTTAATGAAAGAAAAAGAATTAGTGTTTTTTCTTCTAAAATCTCAAAATAGATCATATTTTGTGAGAAAATATGTGCACTGCTTAAAAACAAAAATATGCCAATGGAATACAAAGATAGGAACAGAAACACTTGAAGAGAATTAGTCACATGATAAAGATGGCACTTTATGCCAATATGAAATAATCAATACATCAGACAATCTGTTTGCACATTTTGGACATTTTTCTATTTGAACAAGGTTAAAATCCTATAATCTCAACAAAGGTCGAAACTATGAAGGCAATAGAATTAATAACTTGTAAATTTTAGAGATAATCATATAGCCTTATTAGATCTATGAAAACTCCCATATTTATTACTTATTTATTGCCAGATAACCATTAGTAAGACTAAAAACCAGTATATGTGAAGGAACTTGACAACATAACTGTTGTTTAACAACACTTCAAAGTTGCAGTATTCAGTCACTTCTATTCTGCTTTATTCTTGCACATATTCAATAACAGAAGAATGCTCAAAACTGGAAGGGTACCAAATGCCAGCAACAAAACTGGTAGTCAGAGACTTAATAATAGTATTTTTTAATCAAACTTTATATGATAGATACTGTCTTAACGAGTTCTATATGGATTATGTCATTTAATTATCAAGATAATGTCTCAATGAAAACACTGACTCTGATAAAACAAACTTCCTAAGGTTGCAGAATTAAGTGAGAACACTGGAATTAAATCTAAGCACTAAAGTACACATCCCTTGCTGGTAAGACAGCTTCCTAACTTAGAACAGGTGTGAGTTCTAGACGTGCTGAGATCTGGTCCCATCCGCCTACTTAGGTGTCAAAATTCCTAAGTGCAACACTGCTGGCCATACATTATCATTTTCCAGGTGTGTCGTGCTCTATGACAATGTTTCAATACATTCTGGAAATCTCAATAGGAAACAAAGAAAAAATAATGTGACAGATATATGAAGTCTGATATGAAGAACCAACCACCATACTATGAAAAAAAAAAAGTCCAAAAAGCAAATAGAAAAAATAGAAAGTATAGTTCCATTTAAGTTATAAATGAATAAAGTTATGAATAGATATGTTCTGAATATTCAAGTAAGGTTAAGTGAGTTATATCTATCTACTCAAGAGGTCAGACAAAAAACAACTGGCAGAATAGTTGCTGTGAAGTATAAGACAAGAAGTGAGGGGGCCATTTATATTCTATATTTTGATGCTTGTCATATTCGCCTAAAGGTCCTTTCTCCAAGAAGTCTTCTAGATACCAACTGTTTTCTCATTTTATGTCATAATTCATTATTTAATTTCAACTTCATCAAATCAATTGCAATTTAATTGGATGTTTACTACCTCACTGAAAAAAAAGGGTAAGGAAGAATTAGATCCATAATTATACCAACTATATGTACTGGATTTATGACCATGCCTTGCACATTGTTATGCCAATCAAGAGTAGAATGGAAACAAAAATTACATATAGTCATTGAAATACCAAAATATCAGCCAAAGTACAAGCACATCAATGACAAAGAATTTCTAAACGTAGTAGAATACGTACAGACACACCACAAAGGACCGAGAGCAAATATTTCAAGAACATACAACACAACAGGAAAACTAACAACAGAAGAGCATGGCTGCATTAGGAGAGGAGTACAGGAAAGCACACAGAGGTCAACCGGCAGCATTTCTGGACTTCTGCCCCTTGGCCTGATTGGTGCTTATGAGCAAATGTGTCTTCTGTGGTAATTCACTGCATTGTTACTTAGGAACATTGTATTTTTCAGCATCTTTAAAATTTTAATAAATGCATTTTTACATCTGAATAAAAAATGTACAGCAAGTAATAACAGTTATTTAAGAAGTAAAAAGGAGTGATTAACATGAATTTGGGATAATTACTGTGAAGTAATCAAATACATAACCAAGAAAAATGTTTCATAATACAAAAATACAATTACCTCAAGAAACCATAGAGATTGTAATAGTTAGATAAAAATTTTCAAATAATCAACTTTGATGTCTTTCAAAGAAAATTAAGAAAGCTACACTAATCCCAGAGTTAAATTACAATATGACACTTTTGCCTTCACCAATATACATATGGAAATATATATGCAACCAGTAATCTCCAAATGTTGGTTTTATCTTCCTGGCTTTCCGTTTTGCTCCTGCAGCAGTTTTATCATACTGCCTTTTCAGGAAATCTCTCTTTAAGCCAGTATCATTTAGGGATTTCTACTTAAAATGAGAACCAATGCTAGCAAATAAGATTAATTTGAGAAGGAAGCATGTAGCATATCCTAGCATCCCTATCCCTGTCTGCCTGCCTTAATATTAACTCTTTCATACTGCACACAAACCCACACATGAGAGGGCTTCTGGGGAACTCTTTTCAAATCAAAGGTGAAACCTTAGCAGGCCACTTACTCAAACTGAATTTCCATTCTGCAACTCTGTTTTTTTAATAAGGTGACACATTCATAGGTCATTTTATCACTGCAAAACATACATATCATTTAAAAACTGGTCTGGATGAAGTGCAAAAGGACTCTGCAGGTAAAAGTGCTAGTCATGCATGCCTGGTGACCTGATCTTCCATCCATAGAACCTACATAAAGGTGGGAGTAGCGAAGTGGCTCTAAAAAATTGTACTCTGATGTCCACATGTGTCATGGTGCTTGCACACATGCACACACACATACTAATAACAAAATAAAAACTGGTTTGACCGTAATGCATAAAGAAATCCATAGTTGGATAGTTGGAGAGAAGTTCAAAAGCTTTCTCTCATAGTCAAAGAGTTCTGTAAAATGAACCTGAAAAAAGCTTTCTCTGATAATGTGCAAGACACACAATAAACACCTTTTCTCCCCACATATTATCTATTAAGCAATAAAGAGACTAAAATATATGTTCCAGATAATTTAAGGGAAATAGAGAGCCAGAAGCAGCTATCAAATGCTGATCCTAGGCTTCATCTTCCAAACTCTCCTTCATGTGCTCTAGCTATTCTGACCAATGGTTTTTTAATAGAGAGCTAGCAGGTGGAGAGCACCAGGTTATTAAGGAAAGAGCATAAAATAATTAGAGATACCAGAATAAAGATTTCTAGAAAATGATAAAGGGCAAAAGTCTCACATGTTACTAGCCACCAGTGAGCTGTCGAATTACCAAATTTTTACAGAGCTTCTTGAAAATTCTTAACTAATTTCACGAAAGCCTGGTAAGTGTGTTAGTTACATGGGATTATACACTGAGAGGTGCAATATATATAACAGGTGGCCTAAAAATTCTCATCTCACAAACTTGCTTCTTTGTCTCTTTATAACCTGCTTCCTTCCTCATAACATAATCTGAAACTCAAAAAAAAGGAGAGATATATGAAGTGTAGAAAATACATAAAGTGAATTTTCAGGGTGACAATAATAGTAGACTTCATGTTACTAGCTATGTCTCTGAGGAGTAAAGAAAAATCAGTACAGCTTCAGGGATGTCTTAAGCTCTAGGAAAGACTTCTCTAAGAAGGTAAAAGTGGCAAAATGGATAAAAAGGGAATTCGGGCAAATGGTAGAGAGAAAAACTAGTAGCGCACACAAAAAACTAAGCAAAAACTTTAAAGTGTGTGTGTGTTGGAATGAAGGAAATAAAAAGAGAAAAGTGCTAATGGTTATAGCTTGGGTCAACCCTAAAGAGCACACAGAGAATCCCACAAGTGTAGGATCAATCTGCACTCCCTCCCCATTTCATCTGTCCTCATCTCATTTTAAAATATGAGATTTTCAATCTTTTTTTTTTTTTTTTTATAATTTTCATCGACTACTTTATTCAGGCAAAATATGTTGTTTTCTATGAAGATCTGTCCCAGGAGGTCATGATATGTAATCTCTTTCCAGTAAAAAGAATCGGTCTTTCTCTAGTGGTCCAAACATCTTATTTCCCCTATTTTCAATATTTCATTTTACTCCAAGTAAAAAAATTAAATGATTACATATTTTCAGGAGGAAGGAAGGTAAGAAAGGACCACCTATGAGATCTTATACGCTAATCAACTTGTCATGGAATTAGTCTGCCAGGAAGGTTGCAATGTAGCACTGCAAGCTGGGCATGTAAAAGCAAAACATACACCAGGCATGGTGGTGGTGGTGTTCTCCTTTAATCCAAGCCTTTGGGATGCAGAGGCAGGTGAATCTCTGTGAGATCAAGATGCCTCCCCCCTCAAAAAAAAAAAACAACAAACAAATAAAAGCAAAGAACAAAACCAAAATAACAAAAACTCAATGGGGTGGGGGGGGTCTATCAGCAAATTGATCACTCTGATTCCAACAAATTTAAAAGTAGCTATTGATAAGGCAAATAAGTTACATTGCTTCTGTTCTGTATGGCAGGCTGAAGAAAGCTCTGATAGGAGGGGTGACTTTCTGAAGAACAATGAAGATGAAGACAAAAATAGAAAAGCTGAGGAAAGTTTTAGAATTTTAATGTTAGAAAAGAATTGACACTAAAATTTATTAGAATGTCTTAGATTTCACCAAAAAAGTTTTTTTTTAAAGTACTTAAGAAGAAGAGAAAAAGCTTGATGAATTTGCTAAATCTAAAGATTTAGCTTTCTTCCTTCAAATAAGCAAAAGAAAAGTAACCATGTGATCAAAGCCTTGGCAGGCTCTTGTACTAGAGGTAGAAGTGACAGCAGAAGGCGCCAGTGTGAAGGGCTCTTGTTTCTTGATTTGAGTAGGATATTTAAAAAAATCAGTATAGAGAAAAAAATGTGAGAAGAAACAAAAAGATACTAAACAAGTAAATCATTTCAGAAGCAATTAATGAAATCCATCTAGCATCAAAAAATAAAATTAGAGGAAAAATACACTAATCCATAGTCAGAACACTGAGGAGGAAATAAACAACTGCTAGAAGCAACTCCGCAGCTTCTCGGATTGCTCTTCAGTAACCTTAATCTTTTCAAATTCAAAATACGGTTCAAACTTGGGTCTACAGACCAGAGGCCTATTACTATAATCAATCAAGAAAATGTTTAGAGTTTCTCAGATTATCCATGTTAAAAGTAAAGAATCTTGGCTTCATGTTCCTAAGCATCTCCCAGAACACCAGGCAGTCATGACTAAGACAGAAAAGAAGAAATTATAGCAAATCTTATTAAAAGAAATAAAATATTATACGACATTGAATTTTTTGAAAACATGAAAATGTGAATAGTACCTTAAAGAACCCTGCTTCAGGGCCACACCTGTCATACACACTCCTGGATTTACCTATCGCCATGATAATACCTTGCATACTGGGTGTCATCATGATCTGCCATAGGAATTCAAAGTAAGAGTTTCTGAATGGTTAACAGTCAAAAACTTAAAGACAAAACAATTTATTTACATGCAAGTTAAAACTTTTGTTCTCTACCATTCACAAACCAAGCAATGCTTTTATAAAACAGCAAATGTTTCCTGATGTTCAAGTAAAAGCATCTTCCAGTCACCTAGAAGTGGCACAGCTGACTTACACGATGCCTTTGTACAAAGTGCAAAAAGGCATCATCCTTCAAGCTGAGAATTGTTGAAGGACACCCCTTCTAAACAAATTAGAAAATGAACAGCTCTCTGAGAGAACTATTTGGGGGGGAAAAGACAATAAATAAATAATAAATAATAATAATAAATAAATAAATAAATAAATAAAGCACTTTTACTCAAGTCTTGATAGAGCTCAGAAAGAATCCATTTGAATCCCACTTTTGCCCCTGGTTGTAGGACCTCCCTATGCAACTATATGAGCTGTATATCACAAGCAGCAGCCTTGTATCCATACAACTTTTCTTTAAGAGTTCCACAGCACATGCACTGTTAAGCTGGGACTCTAATAAATTAAAACAACAAAACACAGAACTGCATAAGTAACAGAAGCACTTCCACAAAAGGTGGTGTTAACTGACTAATCACAATTCTTTTGGAAATGCCAAAAGGCTCACACTGAATACAAGTAACCAGTGCTTAACTAATAAAATAATAATTTTATTAAAAGACAGCAGTTTGGATAGTTTTCACAAGCAAACGTAACAATGTTGTACTAAATACTTAAGTACTTTTGTTCCCCAAATAGCTTCTTAGCCTTAGCTGTTTCCACTTTAAGGTATCTGTGGAATGAAGTTTACAAAGCTTCTTACTGAAATGGAGAGATTGCAGCCCCTACCTCTAACTCACAGAGACAACCACTGACGCTTTTCCTCTGGGTTATACAAGGAGGGCTCCAATGTACCTGACATCATTCACTGTCTGCATATGCAAACCCTCTGATCAGTTCCTATCTTTCAAAATCTATTTATTTTTTTAATGGTCATACTTTCTTACAAGGCACAATGGTATTAATGCCTTTACTATATAATAGTAATCACAACTATGAAGTAAGTTTGGGAAGAAAATGAAGATATTTGGAAAGGAATATTTAATGTACATGCAATGATCATCCAGACACAAAAACTAACTGTAGTATCCAACAAGGTCCCTCTGCCTCCAAGTCTCTATCCCACCTCGCTTCAGAAATAACAGTCTCCGCTGTTACTACTCAAAAAGGGTTTAACGCCCGTCCCCCAACACAGAAAAGAACTTTTTTAAAATTTTCAAGGGACAAACAGAAAAGCATTGAAAGCAATCTGATGGACCAGACCAATAGATCAGCTTCACCTGGATTAAGAACTTTATCATGAGGAACAAATTTTCCTCCAGATCAGAACAACTAAGCAGATGAGAATAATCAGAAGAGAGACAGGAGAGTTCAGATGAGGAGCCTGCGCAGAGACCCTGACAGGCATTCAGTAATGCCCAGTCACTCCATTTGCTGTCACAGGCAGACAGATACTGTAGTAGTAAAACTATCAAGTATCCATCCTGCAATTGTGCCATAGGCTTTCCAGTAGGCAACAGTGGACAATGTATAACATATTCAAGTAAAATGGGATAGGAATATAAAAATAAAGTGCAAAATTTTTCCTAAACAATGAAGCAAATGTCACTATAATCTTATCAACCTAAGAGTAAACTGATATTATTTCTATCAATTCCAGAAACATAATTATTCTTTTCACACATCCTCTAAGCTTTCTTCTTAATTTTTCATTTATTTTCCAAGTTCTGTTAGTAATTGGTAAGGCAGTTGCACACCACAGGAGACAAGGCTGTATGTTATGCAGCAACAGACATTAAATGTGCGGTGCAGGCATGCCTAAGGTACTTGTATGAAACAGCAAAGGGTAGCACAGATAATGTTGAGCACTGGTAAAGGTACCTCGTCATCATACCCTCCCTCCTTTGACTCAATCATAAATTTCCCTACGTGAGGAATTGCCACCTCTACAACTCGCTGGCTAGAAGGTGGTTGGCTTGTGGTATTTTCAGGTTTCTGTAGAAAAAAAAAATCATTGGTATCAACATTAGAAAAGACAGCAATGGAAACATCTGCTTTACATGTAGAGGCTCTTAATCTTTTCAAAGTGCCTATAGTTACCAGGAATAAAAGGAAACCACTTGAAACTTAACATTGGAAGCAAATTTATTAAACAAATTAGAATATAAAAATACAGTCTTTCCCTTTACATCTCAAACACAAGTATTTTTGTCACTTCAAATATTTAAAAATAACGAATACTGGAGCTGTATTTTCTATTACTTGTCCCATACAAAGTTCTGTTTTAAAGAAATCCTTTCTTGATAGTTCAATAAAAATAGATGATGAAACCCTCTACACTCAGCAGTTTGCAGCGATCTCCTTAGGGTTTCCCTTTCTATTCTTTGTAGTAATCAAAGAATTAGTAAAAGACCCAGTTAATATCTATACAGAATGTGTTTAATTACCCTACACAGCCTACAAGGTTCTGGCACAGTATATTTACATTTAAGTGTTCAATAAACTCTTGGCATACACACATTTTAAGTGTCAAATAAACTGTTATTGAAAATAAGAAAAAGCTATTGGAAACTAATAATACCTTTTAAGCAACTAAATCAAATCCATCCCCTTCTATCTTCTCTGTTAACAAATCCTATAAATTTTACTAATTCATCCTGAATGGAAGTCAATATGAACTCTAAAACTTTGTACTCATAAGCACTAATTTTTTCAAAATACTGTTCAGCTTTCACATAAGCTTGTTTAGCCAACAGATTTATAACTAGCACATCCTCCATTTACCAGTCAGTAAATGTCAAAAGTACTGCAGACAACTTGAAAGCAGCCTACTCAATTTGCACCAGAACTTGTTCTAAGCAAAGATAAACACTAGTGGTGACATGAAATATTAAGAGCAAATGAAGAGTTTTATTTCTATTTGAAGTATATACATTTTACTGATAACATTTTCCACCTCTCTAGAATTACATATTCAAACTTTTTCCCCCAGTTAATTATTTATTTAAAAACCACATACTTAGAAGAAGCATTTCATTACAACAGCATTGACATATTAATACAAATTCAAACTTTAACAAGGAAACAATGGCCAAGACTAGTACTGCCCCTTTTAAAAGAAATATTTTTTTTCCAAAGTGTTATTTTTTTCTAGGCATGGTGGTCCAAGCCTTTAATCCCAGTACTTGGGAGGCAGAAACACATGGATCTTTGTGAGACCAAGATCAGCCTGGTCTAGATAACTATATAAGGAGTTCCAGGCCATCTGGGGCTACAGGGAGGCCCTATCTCAAAAAAAAAATTATAAAAGTGTTATTTTGTAATACATTTAGGACTCTCTACTTATCTGAATTTTCAGCATCTCAAAAGAAAAGCCCCACCCTGCACTGCAGCTGTGGTCATGAGAAAATATTTAAGAATCTAGTATGTAAGTTGTTTTATAAATGACAGTTTTATAAATGTCATTACACTTACACAACTTTATTCACATTGAAAGCTGGGTGTGGTGGCATATGCCTCTAATGCCAGCACTTAAGAGGCAGAAACACATGGATCTCTGTGAGATCAAGGCCAGCCTGGTCTACATAGCAAGTTCCAGGTCAGCTGGGGCTACAGACAGATACTCTCTCAACAAAACAAAAGAAAACACCCAAATTATTCACAATGGAATAATTTTAACCCAATCTTACTATCACACTTATTCTGTTGAGATGTGTTTGTAATGAATAATTTTGAATACTTGTAGTGTTTGAGAGACATGTCTTGATTCACAACACTGAAACATAAGATAAAAAGACAGTTGGGGTTTTAGTGATGAATTATTTAGTAGCAAACCTATTAAAAACTGTACCATTTTCAAAACAAAAAATATACATTCCAGGAAAAGAGTCATGAGGTCCACACAGAACAACACACCTACTAAATGAAGGGGAAAATCATGTTAGCAGAAACATTTTAAAAGCACTTCCAGTTATGACTGAAGCTTCAAAAGCATAATACTAGCTAATTATATTGGCAACTGCTGAAAGGGAAGAAGGTCTAACTGTACAAAATAATTCAGTATCATTAATAAAATTTTAGATACATAAAAGCAGGATATTTTTTCATATGAAATTATGGGTTCAGTGGGGTAAAATAAATGCTTATTTTCATTTTCTATTATTTCAACCCTTACATAAACACATTAACAAAGGTTAAAGAAAGGCTACAAGTTAGGAAATTCCTCAGTTGCTATCAAAAAAATAATTAAAATTGCCTGAAATTCACTGACTACATGAATTTGTAAAAATAGTTTTACAGAAGTGTAGTAAAAAGGATCTAGAGTTATAATGCTTTTGGGCACTTTAATTGACGTCCCTTTTAACCTAGGAATTAAAACTATGGAGAAAACATTACAAGAAATGCTTAAAATGTGTAGAAACTTATGTATCATAGCAGCCTACTTATAATAATATAAAAGCAGAAAAAATACACAGTAGAATGGGGAAATGAGCAAAAATTATTAGTGGAATAATATTCAGCAATTCTACTCAGTTTATAACAAGAGAAAATATCTTGTAAGGTTAAGTGAATAAAAGGAGAAAGGAAGGGGCTGGAGAGACTCAGCACTTAAGAATATTTGCTGTTCTTCCAGAGGACTTGGGTTCGATTCCCAGCATCCACATGGCAGATAACAACTGTCCCTAACTTCAGTACCAGAGGATCAGACATGCTCTTCAGACCTCCACAGGTATTGCCTCCATGTGATGCACTTACCTACATTCAGGCAAAACACTCATAAAATAAAAATAATACAACACTTTTTTTAAAAGAGAAAGCAAGGCAAAACTTAGTACGTTGCAGTAATTCAACTATAAAATTCTCCAAACTACGCTTAAAAATAAGTGAAAACAAAGAAGAAAATGCAAAAAGGTAGGAATGATAGCACACTGAAAATCACCTGAAACTATGCATTATTCTTTCTTGCGGTCTATTTTTCCATATTTTTAAATATCAAAGAATTCCATTAAAAATTAAATTTTTCCAAAAGTAAGCTGTCTAAACATTTGGAGACTGTTGATGGCTTCTAGGTTCTAAGTTTTTCAGGGAATTACTTTTACTTTAAGGTTAGAACTTAATATACTGTACATCTGTGATGTCTAGAACTGAAAAGAAGTAACTAGTACCCTGACATCTGCTATTAAACAAAACAAATTAACAAAAACAATTAAAAAAATCCCTCTTCATTAGCCCCATGGTCATCTAAATTAAAAAAAAAAAATCCTGAAATTTAGAGAAGTAAACAAGTTACACTAGATTATATTGCAAGTAAGAACTAAAATCAATATTCAAAGTCCCAGAGATATTTCATCTAAAATCTGAAGACTTTCATAACTTCTATTTCTTATGTACACTGAGTTTAAATGTGAAAACACAACATGAAGTGGTTTCTAGGCTTTTAAGCAATGACCCTGAGATCAAGAGCCATCAGCCACTGCTAACAACTTCGTCAACATGCGCAGGTGACACAGACAGAAGCTAACTGACAGTACTAGTCGACAAGACAAGTAATGTGGAATATCACTTTCACTGTTTTTCTGTTATAGTCTCTCCCACCATTTTTCAAGTAGGTATGAGGCAGCACATTGCTAACTTATAAGACAATATCCACACTAAGAAAACTAAGTTATGAAAATTCAAGTGATGATTTATATGAATTTAAAGTATTTATGATTAGCTGAACTAAACACAGAAACATAATTCTACACTAAGCTAACTGATGCTTTTGGTTTTCTGATGTCAAATAAAAGAATGGTATCTATTAAGAGTAACTTGGACTTTAACAAATAAAAGTGCTAATTAGCAAAGTCCCTGAGCTAGTACTTTTTATATGGCAATAATACTTCTCTCCTGTATCTACTTCTTTGTTCCCCAGATGTTCATCTTCCCATGGCCCCCAACAGCAGAGAGTTTTCAGACTCATTAGACAAAACATTTTCAAGAAAAGCTTTAGAGTTTAGGTGTTCATCTTAAATTCATTTACAGCCTCTAAGGCATTAGCAAAATTTGAAATCATAAAACAAAATCTAATTAAAACATTTTTAATGTTAAGAAGGCAGTGCTGTATCTTCAATTTTTTAAAGCAGGAAATGAAAGTAAAAGAATTTCTAGTTATTAATACATTACAACATCCTAATAATGTCTTATTTACTGAATATTTTGGATAATTGAAGTCTTGTTATTAATGAGATTGAATTCACTTAACAAGGCAGAAAATGTCATATAAAATTATGATGTACCCAAATTATCTTTAGTTCCTAGGAGAATATTTAGTCCTAAAAGGAGCCTGCATGAGAGACATTTATGTTCACTGCTAAAATCAGAAGGGGAAAAAAAAAAAAAAAAGGCTGCAGAAACCTGATGACTTTGCAATACTCAATTTTTGAAATAGCATCTTCCAAGGGCTGGAGAGATGACTCATTAGTTAAGAGCACTGGCTGCTCTTGCAGAAGACCAGGTTTGGTTCCCAGCATCCACATGGCAGCTAATAAGTGTCCTTTACTCCAGTTTCAGGGGATCCAATGCCCTCTTCTGGTCTCGGTAGGTATTGCATGTCACAGGTGCACATATCCATGCAGGAAACACATTCACACACATACATAAATAAAGAGGAAGGAAGGGAGGGAGGGAGGGGAGGGGAGGGGAGGGAAGGAATATCTTCCCAAGTAATATTCACTGATAACATAATATCATATCACTGCACTCAATTTAGTGTTATAAAAAGACAAATCTGCAAACTGTAATATAGCAAGATAATAGTGGCAATTTCTGCCCAGTACCCTCAAACCACACACAAACTATTTTGTCACATCACAGTTATCCTTTAATTATACTCTCACTTAATGTTGAAAACATTTCATGTCTTTTAAATTCCCAACTATTCCAATATTGTCAGATTACAGATGCACAGAATGAGAAGGACAGAAGAAACCATGTTGAACTTTTTACTTCTCTTTTTAAGTTCAAGTCAAACCGACAATTTAGTCTGATCTATGTAGTCTTGCAGTTCTCTGACAGGAAGATAGAAACTAGGAGAAAAATCATTTTTAAAATCCTAAGCTAAGGAAATGGCAGCCCAGCTGCAAATGGCTTGCCCACTTTCACAGATCACAATCATGGCAGAGCCACATGTCTCCCCAGACTCCCAGAAAGGATGTTCTACATCACACTGTGGGAAACGCTGTGAACATAGCTATGTCCCGAGAGCCAAAAGAAAAGTTCTTACCGACTGCAAAATTGTCTCAGGACTTTTATCTTCATGCTCGTGTGAGGCCTTGGCAATTACTTGAATAGTTTCTTCTTTCAAGTGCTTTGAGAAATCACTTCTTGATGGCTGCTCTAGATATTCTGGTTCTCCTGCTTGTGCTTCACGAGAAAAGAATCAATTGCACATCTAATATAAATTACAAGTATCTGTACTAAGATGAAGAGGTTATTTCTGCTCTGAAATCATACAACAACCAATCTTTGTCTTGTATTTAAAGATATCCTTCAATATATTGCACTCTACCCCAAGAATTTACCAGCAAAACTAACCAAAGAACAACAAAAAAGCAGAACTAAGAGTACTCAATTACTAAAGAATAAATTAATTTTAGTTTATGGTAAGGAACTTAAGAGTAAATTTTTCTGCTGTGAAAAGTAACAAAGTCTCATTTTGGATTTTTTACCAAAAAGAGAATTTGGTTTCTACAACGATCTTGGACTGATTTTCCACAGTGAGTACAGTGTTATTTTCCCATCCACTTGACAAAATCCTAACACTGAATGAACCTCACCTTCTCTTTTATAAATAAACTCACTGTCCCTGAGTATTGTCAGAAGAAAAATAATCACAAATTGGCACATTAGTGTGAATATAAATTCAGGACTTTAAATACCATTAATGAAAAGATTTTCAAAGTATACCTTTAACTTCTACCTATTTTCTGAGCTCCAGATCATAGATCTCATAATACTCTGAATAGCCACTGACCCACAAAACTTTGTATCGCTGAACTTCTGCCTTGCGTTCCAATGCCATCTTGTGTCCTCTGATCAAAAAGGCCTCCAAACTACCGTCTCTTTATACACTGAAGAAGCCTGCCTTCTGACCTTCACAAACTACCTCCTTTTCATACTCTGAAGAAGCTTCACTTCTGACCTTCAGCTTTGAATATTCTTCCCTCTACCTGTATGCTCTCCCACTCTCCAGTAACTTGCTCATTTGCTTAAACACCATTTCTAGAGCACAGTTCTTCAGTGTCACCATTATTTAGATTTTTGTGTTGGATAATTCTGTGGTATGAAGGGCTATTTTCTGAACCTAGCATCCCCCTATTGATGTAACACTGCTGTCTCTTCCCAAGATGACAGTCAAGAATCTACAGTAGAGACAAATATCTCTTCCTCAAAGATAAAATCACTCCCAGATGAGAATATAGTAACTTAAAACTTGCCTTTTAAACACACCACAATTATAACTTAATTATGATTTTATTTGTCTACAGCCTGTATCTCCTGCAACATTATAAAGATCTCAGGAGCAGGCATGCTATTTCCCTTTTGCATTGCTAATTCTCCAAGGTCTATCATAAAATCATAACATAACTTAAGGGAACAAAGAAATTAGTGATTCAGTCAACAAATACACACAAACAAAAGATGACAAGGGGCAGTAATTCTCTATACTGTTACTGAATGAGTCCTTACCTAACCACCTCATGAAAAAAAAAAAAAAAAAAAACAAAGCTATAGGTATCCTCCTTAACATTTTACTAAATTGAGTATCTCTAAAATAAAATGCCATTCAAGAAGTAGTACTGTGACTTCAACATACATGTAGGGGCATCCATTCTGCTAACAATTTTTAATTAAAGCCCTGTGTGCCAGGCCCTGGGACTCCAGGAGTGGCAGAACAATCAGTCCCCTCTTCTCTTAAAATCAACTATGAAGAAAGTCACTAACTGAAAATTCACCGATTTAAATTATAACACTATCATGATAATATAGTCTAGGAATAAAAGGAGGGTGTTATAAGCAATTTTGTTTGTGGTATATAAGCTAAGATGACCTTTAAAAGCTGAAGGTTGTATGTGGATTTTTTGCCAGAGGGAAAAACAAAAAGCCAAGTACTAAGTGTGGATTGGATCACATACAATATAAGAGCAAATGTACAGGAGGGCAATGCAGATGAAATACAATGGCAAAATGGAACGTTTAACACAGAACAACAACAATAAAAAATGGGGGCTATAAAAAACCTTTCATAGCATGCTCAAATCCTGGAGTCTATCACTAGTACATAAATACGTGCTGTTTATGCTGTGAAGAATAGATGACAGAGGAGAGTAGAATTGGAGGTCACTGGAGGTACCAGATCCTATTTGATCAACACAAAAAGAGGTTACACTGAGGGTAACAGACAGCAATAAAGGCAGGCAGAAATGATGAGATGCAAGATGCACTTTGCAAACAAGATTGGGAGACTCAACATGAACAAGAAGAAAATTCCAAGTTCCCTACATGAGTAACTATGATAAAGGAGGTAATTTGTGCTGCAACAGAAACTAGAAGTGAAAATAAAGTGTGTGCAGCAAAGAGAGCGAAATTAAAAAATTAACTGCCTTCCTGTATAGATATTTCATGATTTGGGCTGAGGGCAATGTGGTCAGTGCCTCTACATGAAGAATAAGGTACAGACAATCCTAGGCTACTTCAAGCCAGGCAGTGTATCTGTTTCTAGGTGGTTTCTTATAGGTGGCTTAAGCTTATAAGCCTATAGGTGTATGCTTAGGGCTTAACAGAGAGAAATTTTCTATGAATCTTCATAGCAAAGATTTTCCTGTGTTTGTCACTGTTCATCCTACCACATGCACAAGAACAAGAGCTAATAGAATAATGAGCTTAACACAATGAATGCCAGGAAAATCATCCAGTCAGACATTGGTCTAACCATCAAAACAAGAGTTTATGCAAAATAAGTATCTAAGAACAAGATTACCTTAACTTGATGAATGGAGTAAAATCAACCATAAGTCACTAGGATCAAGGTTTTTTCCCTTACATGGTGTGAATCCAAAATTCATTATGCATAATATCAAATGATTTAGCCTAAATGTTACATGGAACTACTTTCTCTGACTGGAATAAAAACTTGACTCTGCATTTCAACTATGTTTATTGAATCTGTGCCATCTTTGGTAAATATTTGCATACTTCATTCAATTTAAGGAATTCTCAGTAAATTCAGGTAAGTATATATTTATTATATACTATTATAATATCTATAAATCAACTCTTGGCCTAACACATCCACTTAGGATGGTGATGGCCTGTTAAAGACTTTCTAGAAGAAATGCTAAATAATTTGTGTTTCGAAAGGCTCTGTAGAAAAGATAATTTTGAAAATGAGAAATGAATCCAGACAAAAGAAATTTCCTATGGAAAAACTACTTTATGGAACAATGAAAGATTGTAGGAGCCAGGGCTGTTCATGAACACAGGGAAGCAGAGGCTTACAGGCCACTGGAACCTTACACATGTGAACTTATAGTAATGGTGGCATTGAGCAACGGACCCATGTCAGCTCAATTAAACAAGCACCCAAAGGTGGGGGAGAGAAATAGATGGTGAGCCAGCACTAGACTGAGAACTATTCAAGACTCATTGCTGCTGGGTGTGGGAGAGTATGATTTACACACAATCACTAGATGGGCTGACTAGACTCCAGTGGACACATTTACACTGAAGGACATTTGGGTTCAAATGCCTGTATGAGTAGGACTTAACAGGTATGGCAGAATACATGAGGTTCGGTGGGGGAAGGGGAGGCATACTGGCAGAGTAGATTTAAATTTGATAAAGAATTGTTGTATGAAATTACAAAAGTGCAATAAATTTTTTTAAAGATTTGTAAAATTTCTGACATCAATTACATTGGTAAAACAGTAAAAATTATATATAGTCTAACAAGGGATACAAAAATTATGGTACTGAACACAGATTGTAGTGAAGTTGAAAGGAGTCACAAAGATTTTGAGATCTGCAGAGGATCTTAAAGAATGGATAGAAAGTTACAAATGCTGACTTTATTAGCAATGCCATAATTATAGAAATGTTTTATTTAAGAGATTTGAGGAACAGGTTTAGATGAAAACAAGGTACTCAGGTAAGTCGTGCTGGAAAAGAAGCGTGGGAGTTGGTTATACACAAGATCCTCATAAAAAGGAGGCATGTTTGTCTTCATGTTTTCAATCAAAAGAGTACAAGCCTGTTTTTAGAACAAACAAGTCAACAAAATGAGGAAATTAAAAGCTCTTTCTACCACTCAAAGATAAATAGAACTAAGATTTTCAGCACTATCTACTTCAGGACATTACCAATCTGATTTTTTTTTCACAAAGGAGGTATTTTATATACACTATTTTTAACTTTTCTCAATATGATTTTTACTGTACTGGGCTGTCTGGAATGAAAGGCTCATGCAACTAACACCTCACCATAGGAATGAATGGGGAATTTCCATATCAGTTTATGACAATAGGAAGAGAAAGTTTGGCTTTGGCCACAAAAATGTACAGAACAACTTTGCTTACTGTATAAATATGTAAAAACTACAACATTATTGATCTACATAAACAGAAAGAATTTAATAAATGGGAAAAAATAATGTTCTGTTCAGGTTCCAACTTGGAAGACAGGTAGTGATTGCTTGAGCAAGGCTTGCTATTCTTGGAAGTTCTTGATTCTTGTCATAGTTTGACTGTTGAGTATACACTTAGAGTTCGTGTGTTAAAGATTTGGTCACCAGCTGATTATGCTTTGTGGCAGTAACAGAAACTTAGGATGTAGGCTCTACTTAGAAGTAGATCATTGGGGTTATATCCTTAAAAGGTATACTGTGACCTGAGCCCCGTCTGCTTGCTCTGTCTTTCTGCTTCCTGGTTACCATGAGATGAGTTGTACTGTTCTACTATGATATTCTAGCTAGCCACCGGCCCAAAAACAATAGAGGTAATCAACTATAATCTCTGAAACTATGAGCCAAACCAAATCTTTCCATTCTTAAGTTGCACCATCTTAGATATTTTGTCTCAGCAAAGACAAAGTAACTAAAAGACAAGGTACCTAAAGATAAGGTACCTAAAAGAATTCCCTACCTCTAAATACAAACTCCTAAATGAAGTCATTTCACCAGGACTGACTGGTACTTTATGAAAGTAATAAAGTATTACAATGCATTTATTTGCTCTACGAGTAGTAGTTCACTAAGATTTTCAAGTATGTAGCCTTCACAAAGGAGATTTTCTAAGCATACTCTACATGTTGCACGATGGAGTAGCTTCAAGCACCATCTGTCTAGCCAGCATTCTGAGGATACTCTG